TGGGCATTGTTCTTAACAGTATCCTTATACTTTTAAATGGGACTAATGTGTAGGTTCTGCGCTATCTAATAAAAAAACTACTAAATATTTCTAATAACTGATTTCAAAAATACAAAAGGTCTTAGGGAATGTGTAAGTACAGGAATAATATTAGTATTAAGTAATTCAATTAATAACAAATTAAAACAGGTGTTATCTTTTTTTTTTATATATACTTTTAACAAATACTTGCTATATATATATATATATATATACACACACATACAAAATATAAAACTATATACTGAATGAAGTCTAATTTGGAAGGTTGCAATACACTCGGGTTTTTAAATTTAATATTAATAAATGTACTTTGAATGCACATCAGATAATAAAAATAGTTAATTCGCTCATTATGTAATCCATGTGAGTTTAAGAGAGATATAATTTTCATATATTTTTATCAATAATCATAATAAAAAACTAGCCTAAAGCAAATCACAAATCTAATTTTTTAAGTATTTTATTCACAAATACGTGTAGAATAAATTGATTATAACTTTTATGACTCTCAAACTTGCTTAAAAATCAAGTAGAGCTTAAGTTAAAAACTTACAAATATATACATCTTAAACTGTCATCTCATTTTGGTCATTTTGGAAATTTAATAATTTCTAACCAGTATAGAAAATATACTTTTAACAAACACTTGCTAAATATTATCTTATTTTGAAATTTACATTATTTACTAAGCCTATTAGTGGATTTTAGAAAAACTAACTTAAAGTCTGTTCTTGTTTTTGGTAATACATTTAAAAAAAATACACATATTACAATTTCTTTTTTTGTTGTTATTTAGTATCATTAGTGGTGATCATGTTTGAGTTGACTGGTAGTGTGAAGTATATTGTGCCACTTATGGCTGCTGTCATGGCAAGTAAGTGGGTAGGAGATGCTTTTGGAAGAAGAGGAATGTATCCTTTTTTACTTTTTAACTTCATATTTTAATATTGTAAATGTATATTTGATCTAATTGGTCTTTAATACAGAGAAAATGCTGCGAGACAGAAAATTTTCCAAATTCTTACTAGTTTTGATAGGAACTGATAGAAAGTAATTATAAATAATGCCTGTAATTATCTTTGTCAGTTATAGACTTCTGTATGGTTGGTAAATATAATAAAAGCTGCATGTCAGTAATTCATTGCTTAAAAATATGATAACCATGCATGCTTCTCATGTGTTTGGAATTTGGGGGGGGGGGGGATTAACTCAAAGGATTTTTACTAAATGTAGTACATGTTTGGCCAAAACTTTGCCTACTGATATTTATATGTACTTCACTGTTAGGGTTTTTAGTAAAACTTTAACAAAATATAACATTCCAAGGGAGGATGTGATAAAAAAAAAAAGTCATACAAATGACTGCAAATACACAGTGGATCCCAAATCTGGGATTATGACAACACAGGATCATAAGTTTGTCAGAAGAAAAATCATATGTAGCAAAAAAAGTGGTTTGAACACTTTTTTAACAGATGTGGTCATGTAGATTCTGGATGTGTGAGATATGGTGTTTGCACTGAAGAAGTTTGATATCTGCTAATTTAGATTATTAATAAAAACAAGTAGTTAATCATGTTTAAACCTTTTTTAACAGATGTGGTCATGTAGATTCTGGATGTGTGAGATATGGGGTTTGCACTGAAGAAGTTTGATATCTGCTGATTTAGATTATTAATAAAAACAAGTAGTTAATCATGTTTAAACCTTTTTTAACAGATGTGATCATGTAGATTCTGGATGTGTGAGATATGGGGTTTGCACTGAAGAAGTTTAATATCTGCTGATTAGATTATTAATAAAAAAGTAGTTAATCATGTTTAAATTTGAAATGTTCGAATTGCTTAAATGGACAACAACTTGTGTGTGTTTGTAAATTCAATTTATTATTTTATTTCTAACTACAGAAGCTTTAAGCCTTTGACAGTAACTTTAGAACCTAAACTGCATGAACACAATTGTGAATTACAAAAAGAATAAGTGCTAGAGGACAAGACTAGTTGTTTTTGGTTAATATGTTCCAGGTAATAAATATAGTAGGGTAACACAATTTACATTATATATGTTTTAAATTCAAGTCTAGTCTAATCATAGTACAAAATTGTTCAAACAGGTCAGTCAGCCTTGCATGGACTGTTGTGTATATTTAGATAATGTGATCAATTGGTTGTAATCCTTGATATTTATGTAGTTATGATGCCCATATTAACTTGAATGGTTATCCATTTCTTGATAGTAAAGAGGAATATACATATACAGCATTAGCTACAGATATAATGACACCCAGGTATGCTTTAAACTTCTGCATTTATGTTTACTGAAATAATAAGTAACTTTTTTATTTAACCCTTTTGCTACAAGCAGGTTAAAGAGCACATGTCATGACCTTTTAGAGAGTTATTTTCAAAATGTTATCAAATAACTTTACTATTACTTATATAAAAGGAATTGACATCAAAACACAGTTTACAATCCAAATGTTAGTATTATATATGTTTTAATTTCTTAGTTTTAAAGGATATAAGAAGAAAAAAAAAGCTAAATATTGATTTTTGTGTGTCACATAACCCGTCTTATTGCCAAGTTTATATTTTTTTATGCCTACCATACAAAGTGTACAGTCGTTAACAAATTAAAAACTCAAATTTGAGATATAAACAAGCTCAATATAAAATAAGAACCTCCCATCTCTTTGATTTGCTGAGATGTCAATGTATTTAGCCAATCTAGCTGAGTGACTCCTCCCACTACTCCATTCTTTTGAAACCTCTTGTCTACTCTTACCTTCTTCTTTTGACTAAGTGTTTATTACCAAGAGAAAGAGCAGTTTCCTGGGTAAATAAATCTGACAGTTGTTTGCAAATAGCTTGAAGGAGAAAGTCATAATTTTGCCAAAACTGTTGAAGTGTGATGACTGAGTTATTGCTGTGAACAGATGTGAGATTTCTTTTAAAGTCAAATATTGCTTGTTTAGAAACCGAGATAAATTACAGGAGTTTTGTGTACACTAATATAGTAATATAGGGTGCTTGACTCACGATCTAAGGGTCACAAGTTTGAACCACCATCACACCAAACATGCTCTCCTTTTCAGCTGTGGGAGCATTATAATGTTACGATCAATCCCACTGTTTCCTTGGTACAAGAGTTGACGGTGGGTGGTGATGACTAGCTGCCTTCCCTCTAGTCTTTCACTGCTAAATTTGAGATATCTAGTGCTGGTAGCCCTTCTATAGCTTTGCACAAAATTCAAAACAAACCAAACGAATATCATAAGTTGATAATTATTTTGTTTTCTAAAATGTATACTTGAAGCCTACAAAAATTAATATCTCTTCAACCTCCACTCAGAAAAATAAACAAGGTTTACGGTGAGTCTTAGCGCATACGACACACAAGCACAAAATTTCATAGCACTGTAAGTATTCGAAATCTTTGTTTTTCAAAGAACTTTTTATTTATTCTTCCATGTTTTAATAGAAATAACTAAAATTCAGGCATTTGTGAATAAATAGTATTTATTGGTTGATGAATGAATAAGTTTATTGAAAGGGAAATAGGATTTTATAATCGTGCACATAAATAATATCTTTGTATGCCTATATGGTATACCGCTAAATTCCAAACATCCCAGAAAGATGACCAATACTTAAACAGTTGTGATGTGTGTAATGAATCAGCTTCGAACCTTATAATAAATATTTTCACAGATTCAAAGTACAATCTTATTACTCTGGGGAATTATTGTTGTAAGCACTGTAGGATACATGAGCTGATAAATTTCACATTATATTCTCAGAGCAAGGTTCAAGTCGGCTTATTTTTTTGTGTGTAGTTTGTTGCTCTCAAGTCTAATAACATAAGCAGTGATTTGTTGCTTTGTTTTCAGCAGATTTATACTTTCGTCATTGACAGTAAAATGAACACAGAAAATAAATGTGAAATTTTTATCAGTTCAAACTCTCAAGAGAAATACTTTGAAAATTCATGACTAATAATAAAGAAAAGGGCACAGCTACTCATTGTATTTCTGATTTTACGACTTTTCATTATACCTTGATGACTTGTCTAATGGCTGGAGAATCAAATATATCGTTAGGGTAGAGGTAATAACATTTAGAATATAAAGTTTTACTGGTAAAAAAGATTTATATTTATTTAGGAGATTTTGAAAGTTACACAAATGAAATTTAAAATTCACTTTGCACTCTGACTAGTCAAAAAACAGATTTGATATATTCACAGACAAATCTTTAGTAAAACTACTTCGTTAAAAAAATATTTTTGTGTACAAATGACATGTAATACTTACTAAAAGTCTACCAAATTTTGTGTAGATACATATACTGTATTAAAAGTTATAGTATAAAAACTATAATGAGTACAATGTGGTTACGAAGTTGGTCATTTCAACCGACCCCATATTGAGAGAGTTAACAGACAGAATGATACATCTTATTTAAGCTTGAACAATAATATTTTGTTTTACCTCAAAGCTGCACAATATTCTATCTTTTTTTCTGTCCACCATGAGGAATTAAACTCTGGATTTTAGCATTGTGGGTGAATGAATATACTTCTAACCCACTGGGTGACTGAACAATAAGAAATCAAATAAACATTTTGCTCAAGTTAATCCAGCATTCTTAAGTGATAATATTAAATACAACAAGTTAAAATATGTTTTTAAACTCACAACCTTTAGTTAACACTCATTACAAAAATAAGAAATACTATTATGCAGTAAAATTCAACTCTTCAGTCAAGGTAACGTACAATGTCAAATGTTTTAGTTGAATGAAATATATAAATATTACATTTTAAAAACTTACAGCATAAGAATTTTGTAATATTTTCTTGGAAGTTATTGTTACATAGTGATACAACCCTTGTAAAAGTAAAAGTAATCAGTTCAACTTTACATCAAAAATCGAAATTATACTTCCATTATAAATTTCAAATTTTTTACAAGATTTCATTGCCTTGTAACTAAACTAAGAAGAATATTGAAACATATACAGACCGCAAATTAGGTGGAATACATTGACAGTATTTTTATCACACCTGCAGGATGGTCATATTCTTATTTGTGTAATGATATAATTGTTTTTATTTGGTCATAAGATAGCCAAACACAAATATATTTTTTGATACCTAAAATAAAATGTAGTAGCAATGAAATGACTTTTAGGAAAACCTTATACATTCTTTTATGTCAATTCAATAACTGTGAAGTTTCCTGAAACAAGCGACTTCACTGTTAGTGATTTGGTTAAGTAGGATTTATTGTCAAAACACATCCATGTCATCTAGTAAGTTATGAAGTAAACAGATTGAATGATTAGTATAATTCTCTTCTATCTAGTGACAATTTGTAAAATTAAATGTATGGTGTTAACAGCCCATAATTTCATATATATTATTATACAATCCTTTTAAATTTTTAGATAAATGTCAATTCACAGTGTGTTAATCAAGGAAGCCCCAAATGCCTCCATGTTATCTGATGGCTGAGGGAACATTTACAATGAAAGAGTAATCAGTTCTGTGGTAACCACTCCGAGCTAGTTTTTTTTATTTGCTCACCAGAAACAACTAGTTTTTGAACATTTGTATGTTATATTGTATATTAGTTTCAGAGTATTTTTTACTTAATTGGGCGATCAGAAATACTAACTATTGTGACAGAAAATGTAGCCAGTATAAAATGTCAGTGAATGAGTATCCACACCTCCAATTTATGCATTTGCAGCTTGCACAGTGTAGCCTATTCATAAGTGATATACAAATTTTAAACAATTTCTCATCAAGTTTGTGCAAGGCTAAAAGAAAAATTAATTTTTCAGACATCAAGCTTCACCTTATGCAGCCCGGCATGGCCAGGTGGTTAAGGCGCTCGACTCGTAATCTGAAGGTCACGGGTTCGAATCCCCGTCACACCAAACATGCTCGCCCTTTCAGCCGTGGGGGCGTTATAATGTGACGGTCAATCCCACTATTCGTTGGTAAAAGAGTAGCCCAAGAGTTGGCGGTGGGTGGTGATGAATAGCTGCCTTCCCTCTAGTCTTACACTGATAAATTAGGGACGGCTAGCGCAGATAACCCTCGTGTAGCTTTGCGCGAAATTCAAAAACAAACAAACAAACACCTTATGCAACTCACTGGACTTTGCCAATTAGTCTCTCCAAGAAGGCTTTGTAATCATCTGCTTTTATTAATAGAAAAGGTAGTATCTAGTTGCTGTTTTTGGGAGATATGAATTGATGTTGTTTAAGAAGATAAGTTCATGTATGAAACCCCAAATTTATTCATCCTGTGGCACAATTTAGTGAAAGAATGGAAACAGATATTTGATGTAAAGCTGTAATTTCTAACCAGCAGCAACACTTACGTGTGAAATCTGAAAATAGTTTGCTTAACAAAGCTGAGGAATTGTAAATGAAGGACTACATCCACAAATTCTATAAGCAAGTTTTTGCTCTCGCAAGCTATGCAACACAGCTAATTGATCCACACTATTGATGGAAGGATTTGAGTGATGAAGATCTTGATTAACCTTATGACCTCATTGTGACTATAGCCAATTTCAAGAGTCATAATGATCAGCGGAGTGTTTTTATACAGTTGGCTAATTTTAAACAAGAAACAGTCCATTTAGTTGACAACCCAATGTGAGATGACAAGGCCCAAATATAGGAAAATCCCATTATTACAATATGTAGTTCTTCAGTAGGAAAGAAAGTTAAACTTAGATATGAAATGTTAATTTTTATATAAAATGGTTACTCATATAAATGTACATCTACTGATTTGTGTACAAAATTTCCATTAAAATTAACATGTATTTCAAAATTTCTTGTAGTTTACTTTACACTACCTGTTTTTTCTAGTCTTTTTTTCAACTATTGTGAAGTTAGGGGACTATACTTAAAATGACATGGTTTTGAAATTTGTCTTAAACTTCTTATTCAGTGCATATCCAAACAAAACTGCCTCTAACTGATAGATTTTAGAAACATAAACCTAATGTTTTTTTGTAGATTGTACAATAGAAGTTAAAAATACTTTAACAGTGAAGCTTGAATATGTAAATTTGGAGAAGTGTTATTAACAAGAAAAATTCAGTTATTCTTCTTCAACATTGTAAGAAAGTAACATATAATTGTGTAATACAAAAAGTGTGTATATGGTAATGAGGATGTACTTGAACCAGTCTGCTGTTAGGAGAACTGCATATATTAAAAACTGTTTTCACTAACTTGATGGAACAAAAATCAGGTGCATCATTAATATTACTTTAACTGACAAAAACTGTGTATAACATGCCAGTGTTTTCAAATACTACAGAATGAATGCATGAAGGATGTAGTACAATTTGTAGTTATAGCTTTATTTAGAAATAGTGTTTCTCACAAGTAGAAAGTATCAGTTCAAATTTGTTTCAGTTGTAATGAGATTAGATCTGTGATCTTAATTCAATTTTTTCTACCTTAGGAGGAATGAGGGTCCTCTTTGTGTCATTACACAAGATAGTATGACTGTGGATAGTATTGGTGAGTGGTGTAGAGTTGCATATCTTAATAAATGGTGCTATATAAATCATGATTAGGTTTATTAAACTCTATCTGTACAATTGTAATTTTTGCAAACTAATGTAAGTTTGATTGAAACTCAGCTTTTAATCTATATTAGTGTATTTTCATACGAAAAAAGAATGATCAAAACATCTTATGAATCAGTTACCTGGAATTCTATGTTAACATGACAAAATGTTATGTGTTTTTTAAACATAATGTTTTGCTGTTTTAATTAATTAATGTGTTAATCTGGTTTTTATATATACATAATATAGAAACAATTTCAGAAACAATAGTGGAGTTGCATAGTTAAGTTTATCTAATTAGTATGAGTTTGCATATTAATTAAGCTGAATTGTACCTTATCATTCTATTGTACCCTATGGGTCCAAACTTTTGGGACACCCTGTGTATAAATATTTCATTTAGTTTGAACCACTTTTTTTTAGGTTTGTATATTACTTATGTAATCAAATTCTTAATGTAATTTCAGTTACTTATTGGAAATTGTCAGTTGCATATTAATGGCTGTCACCAAATTGAAAATCTTTAGAAATTACTATGTAGTGCAGCTGCAGTTTTCTTTATGTTCTAGTGAAAATTATCATTCAGTTAATATTTTATAATTGGGGTATTTTTTCTCTCTACTGTAACTACTCTTATTATTCTTTAACTTGATTTTTGCCTACTTTTAACTTGGAAGCTACTTGTATTAAAATTTGTATGATAACTGGTGTGATTAATGATTTTAAAGAAAACAAATTGTGTAAACTGTTATGCAAACTCAATAGATTGAAATACTTTTTTATATATACAATTCACTTGTTTACCTTTTTGACAGAAAAGGAAATATGAAATTAAAAAGGGTTCATGCCTAACTAATATATCGAGAAACAAAACCCTTTATCCTAAAATGAAGCTTGAATTAAATATCTTGCTCTTTACAAATTATTGTTGTCATTCCTTCATGTATTGTTTGACAATCTTTTATTTATATCACGAAAACAGAATTTCTTGATACTGACATCACTGTTATAAATATAATTTTTTTTTCTGTAACTTTGATAAAATTGGTTAGTAAAGCAGTATGACCTTTCAATAATAGAGTATTTCAGATCAAGTGTTTGTCATTTCCAGTCAATAAAACTGATAATCTAAATTGATCGATTGAAAGAACTATTGTACTAACATAATACAAAAATATTGATATTGAAATTTCACTTTGTCAGTATTAAAAGTAAAAATGTATGTTGGAATTTAGAATAATAAGTTAATTACAAGAGAACTCTTAAATCTACTGCTCCTCTTTGGAACACCTAAAAGAATAATGGATGTGTAAGAATTGAAAGAAATATAGTGCGCTCACTATGTAGAGCCCTTCGACGTGGATTCCTGTACGTGGTGAGGGGACCTCCCAGGGAAGGTTCTGTATTTTCAGTTACTTTCTCAGGGATCTAAACATCCACCCTCGTGTTTGCCGCGCATGGTGACTCGTGAAGGGGAGGAGAGGATCCTGGTGGTTGAGTGGTGTCTGGGACACTGCAACACACCACTTTGGCCTTGTATTTCTATAGACGGGTGGCCCCCTAGGGTCAATCGGTTGGTCCACTGGGGCTAGGGTCAACCGAGTACCGGTGTTGGGCATTCTCAACGGGTGTTGTGGACATTGTGTCTGATACTGGTGTTTGGGTATAGTGCTCACGAAACCCTGGCGTTGCTGCAGTGTCCTTGTTTGACATATTAGTGCGTCCCCTTGTAGGACTCCATGGCGGGTGGGGTCAGTGGGCACTGAACCTCTCTCTTTAATTATGGATCCCCCCATTCCAAATAAAAAAAAAATTTAAAAATCTGCAAATTGGTAAACGACCACACCTAGAAGACTGAACAGCAGTCTCCATCACAAAGTACACCTGTACCTCGCTTTTTGATCCTGCATTCACTGTCTGATAAATCTTTAGGGCAAATGGCTCCCTTTTTTATTCAGAAGGGCTTAGAGGGGCTTGCTGGCTCTCCAAAGTCAGTTAAGAAGCTCCGTTCTGGAGACATCTTAGTAGAAACTTCCACAGTTAAGCACAGTGAACTTCTTTTGAATTCAAAGGCCATTGGGGATATACCCATTGAGGTTACTCCCCACGCTTCCTTGAACTTCTCACGAGGAGTTATTGTTGAGAGGGACTTGAAGTCTATCCCCGAATCAGAGATCTTTGCTGGTTTCTCCAACCAAGGAGTTTTGTCAGTTTGAAGGATCTCCACTCATCAAGATGGAATTATGGTGCCGACCTCAGTCTTGATTTTGGCTTTTTCATCACCACGTCCACCTGCCGCCATTAAGGTAGGTTATTTGAACTGTAAGGTACGGCCCTATATTCCCAACCCTGTCTGATGTTTTCAGTGTCAGCAGTTCGGTCACTCAAAGACATCTTGTCGTGGTTCTGTGACATGTGCTCATTGTGGTGGCAAGGACCATGACTCCTACGAGTG